CCCCACAACCCAACCCCACTCCACTCCCACACCTATCCAATTTGGCAGCCTCTCCCCCACAATGACAAGTCCCGAATCATCACCAATCCCATCTCCCCCACCATTACCCAACCGGCACCCCATGACCACTCGTGCACGAAGTGGTATCTTCAAACCTAAACTCTACTCCACCTCCTCTACCTCTTCCCCACCCACCACAGAGCCTGTTACCTATAAAGATGCCTCCCAAAACAGTTATTGGTGTCAAGCTATGGATGATGAGTATAAAGCCTTGATTGATCAGCAAACATGGGAGCTTGTTCCGGCACCTTCAGATCGGGTTCCTATTGGATGTAAGTGGATTTATAAAATTAAGCATAACTTTGATGGTTCTGTTTCCAGGTACAAGGCCCGTCTTGTGGCCAAGGGCTACACACAGGAATATGGTTTAGACTACTCTGAGACTTTTAGCCCTATGGTCAAACAGCAGACTATTCGGGTGGTTCTTTCTCTAGCGGTCAATCACAACTGGCCCCTTCATCAATTGGATGTCTCCAATGCTTTCCTTCACGGTGTCATTCCTGATGAAATTTATATGAAGCAGCATCCAGGATATGTAGATAAGGAGTATCCTCATTATGTGTGCAAACTAAAGAAATCTCTTTATGGGCTGAAACAGGCACCACGGGATTGGTACCAGCGTCTGTCAGGGTTCCTTGTTAATTATGGCTTTGGGAAAAATGAACATGACACCAGCTTCTTTGTTAAGCACTCTCCCTCTGGCATTCTCATTGTCCTTCTCTATGTTGATGATATTATTGTCACTGGCAGTGCCTCACCTCTTATCTCTTCATTCATCGAGGCTATGCAAAAGGAATTTCAAATGAAGAATCTTGTCCCTCTTCACTACTTTCTTGGCCTTGAAGTCACACGCACAAATGAACATCTGCTTCTATCTCAGGAAATATATGCCCGTGAACTTCTCCATAAACCAGGAGTCGAGGATTGCAAACCGGCCCCCACGCCCCTACCCGTACGGCAGCCCGAGGAGGGGGTGAGCTGTCCGTTCGACAATCCCACCTTTTCCGGAGTTTGGTTGGCTCTCTCCAATACTTGACAAACACGCGTCCGGACATTCAGTTTGCTGTGAATTATGTTTGTCAAAGGATGCATGCACCTACGGAGGAAGATTTTCTGTCCTTGACACGCATCCTGCGATATGTCAAAGGAACCATTGATCATGGTTTGGTCTTCCGGCGAGGCCCACAAACCATCTACGCATATTCTGATTCTGATTGGGCCAACGATATGACAGATGGACGGTCCGTTATAGGTTACTTGATATATCTTGGTTCTAATTTACTCTCTTGGAGTACGGAGAAACAAAGTCGTGTCTCACGCTCGTCCACCGAAGCCGAGTACAGAGCCCTCTCGGCCGTAGCAGCTGAGGTGATGTGGCTCACCTACTTGTTTGACATTTTACAGATCAAGCTCCCTCCTCCACATCTTCTATGCGACAACCACTTCACCATCTGTCTGACTAAGAATCCAGTCTTCCATAAGCGTATGAAACATGTCGGAACGGATTGCCACTTTGTACGAGAACAAGTAATTGCAGAGAAAATGACGGTCTCTTATGTTCCCTCTAATGAGCAGCTGGCAGACCTTCTCACAAAAGCTCTTGCCTCACCACGCTACATTGCATTGGTTGCCAAGCTTCCTCTCGTTTGACGGCGTTCAGCTTGAGGGGGGATGTTAGACATATATGGAAAGAAGTCTAGTCATAGTAGAATTGTTACTTATGTTAGTTTACTTATTTGGTGAATCCCAGTCCATGTAGGGATCCTCACCTATATAAACATCCATGTACAAAAGTATTCCTTAAGAGTGAATTCATAAATCAACACATTTCACTCACCCACTCTATCTCTAGGCCTTGATTCACGTTTAACAATTTGATATTAGTGTTTAGTTATACTTTGCACTTGATTCCTAATCAATCACGCTATCCCCGTGGACTCGACATCCCTTACTTCCACCACTATACTCATTTCATTTACTTCCATCCATCATTTTCATCTTACTTCACATCTCTTTTTGATTGAGGGTTTTCGGTATCAAACATCGTATCGAAAATTCCTTCGTATCACCAGAGTCTATTTTCATACAATTTTAGGGCCATAGACATTTCACGTTTGTCTTTGTCCAATAGGAGCTTCGTTGCAAATCGATACAAGGTGCTACAAGGTGTAATGTCATCCTTCATGGCCATTAGCACCTTAATTTTATCTTCTTTTTGTTGAAAACATAAAAGCTCCTCCTAACTTTTTCTTGCATAACTTTTTCTTTTGTGTAGATGATGAGCTGCTCGGTCGTTTTTTATGCAGTTCTCAATGATCTCAACACTTGTACAGCTCCCTCGAGTGCCTTCATTTTCATGGTCATCATTTAGATCTGGGATGCCTAAATGAACAACACACTCATCCAAAGGTGTAGTATGAATATCAACATCTTCAAAGGGAAATTGAGAACTTGATGAAGCTTCGAAGAATCTTCGTGGAGGACAACGAGCCAAGGGAGACCACATATCATCTCCTTTAGCAATAGTACCATCAAATAAAAATCCCAACTTGTCCTCCAACTCAGGATCAATGACTTTAGCTCATAATTTGGTTGTTTCTGAATTAGACTATAAAATAAATACACCATAAATTCAAATACTTTTATAAACAGTATACAGTTCATACAAACCTCGCATAAGCAATAGCACGTATCTGAAGTAAACCTCATTACTTAAAGTCTATCTAGAGAATATATAACGTACCTTAATATTTCTATCCCACCAATCCTCTGTAGCACCAAGAGTGTCTTTACGTGGGTTCCACCCTAACCCGGATGCTAGTCTCTTAAGGATCCTCCAATTCTTCCATTCGTTTTTCAATATATCCCATTTATGTTTCATTTGTTGACTATCATAGGTAAGTCCTGTCTCATTTTTTAACTTAGTGGCTATGTTAGTCCATGCAAACTTCTTTAAACTTCCTCTAGATCTATTACTATTTTCTAGTTCCCTTTTGCAGATATCTGAGAACGTGATGACACAATTTCTCTCCCATTGTGCTCTTTCATGAACATTGTGACTAGATTCAGAATTGAGCTTTAAAAAAGTATTGGTAGACATTGAGCATTATGAGTGATGAAGTATTTACATCTTTAGAAGGTTAAAGAGTAAGAAAATCCAACCTCAGCAAATGGATTCAACAACTCAGGACATTATAACATACTCACTCTCTCCACCATAGATCTTCCCGGACACTATTCACACGGTCAAACTTCACTCACTTTGTTTGCTTATATTTACTAGTAATTCTGTAAAATAATATAATCTTGTCATCTCTAGTTTTGTAGAATTTTTCATGTAGTTTATTACAATATAAATTTTATTTTATAATTTTACTCTTATAATCAATTAAATTGAATTCAAAATAAAGTCGGTCAAGCCTCGTAACACGCAACGAGAAGATTTTAGGCGGACGAAGGGAGTATAAACTTTAATCCAAATGATTAAAACTTACCCGTACAATTCAACATTAAACAACAAGCTTCAAAGCCTATTCGTTAGATTTAACAACTCCATTATTAAAAACAATACACCAATGATTTTTCATTTTCTATAAACACCCCCTCAACATCATAAACACTAGTTTTAAAAAACAAGATTAAAAATCATACTTTGGTTAACCAAATGGCTCATTAGATGCTGAAAAAGAACATAGTTTAAAAAACATGATTAAAAAACATTTTTTTGTGATAAACCCAAACACTAGAAAATGACTAACACTTTTTTCTCCATTTTCCTAGCATTTTCCATGATCCAGTCATTGCCTTAAAAAAATTGTAGTGTATTTTTAACATAATGTACATGCTAGTGCACTTATTTAATTACATGTGTATAGCTGATGAAACTACTTAGAGAACCGAACTGAAAAATAACTTCTACGCAAGGACCAAACTGAAAAGAAGAGATATGATACTGCAAATATATACTGTATAAGCTCAATTGCTCAAAACACAAGATTATGCACACTAGATGCTCAAGATAGGAGTTTTTATGGTTGTTGAAGTTGAGAACATAGGAGATGATGAAACAGAACATACTTTAAAAAAAGAAGATCAAAAAAATCATACTTTAGTTTTAAAATGATGTACTACTCTAACCTATTGAAAATAGCCTTTTGAAAAAATAAAAAATATTAAACAAATTAGTGGAAATTACTTGACTACAAAATAGAGTATGTTTAAACGAAGGAGAGGTGAAAATAAATAAAAAAAATTGTTGTAAGCAACCTTAAAAACTCTAAGAGACATGATTTAAAGTACTCTTCCGTTTGTGTGTGTAAGTTTGATGAGAAACTAAAACGGAATCTTCCAATGCCAAAAATACAACAAAGTCCCTTAATTTAAAATTGTTGTAAGCAACCTTAATTTAAAGCCTGTTCTTTAGGGCTTGAATTCTTAACTTACAATTTCTTCCAGTTCTTCCAGTTCCTTCCAGTTTCTTCTAGTTACTTTCAGTTTCTTCCAGTTTCCTCCAACCATTCTCATTTTCTCCCAACTCTTTCTACTCTCCAACCAATCACTCTAAAAATGATATATTTTTAATGTGATTATTATTATTATTATTGTTACAACTGCTATAGTTTATAAATTATTTTTTTCATCTTACTATTTTTACGATGGACGTCATAGCTTATTACCTATGCACAGTCACACAACAAAGACAACTGTGCGCTCAGCGAAACCGCTGAGTGGTACCACAACGTAGATTTCATAGAATAATTCATAAAACACATTCACATATGTACGAGAATCATACCCTTTTTGAACCCTTTTATTTAAGAAAATCCACTTTATTTATTTTTTAGTGAAACCTTTAATTATAAAATTCTGACATTCTTCATTGTATGACAAGGTGTAAGAGCATCTATTCGTATAATAATACATATCCAAAGTACTTATTAAAACAAGGGTATTAATTCTAAATACACTTTATTCATAGATTGACAAACCATTACTGTTCCATCATTTCGTCGAGAGAGTATCTCTAATAGAAACAAATCCATATCTAATAGTAAATCAACATCCTTCATTTAACCAATCACTATACGAAAATAGTGACATCCCTTATTCTTAATCATTTATGTTTTAACCTCACGCCATACTGAGTCGTTCTCTGTAGAGGTAGACTCGATAAGACTTCGCCTGTCTGATGCTGGGTCCGAGCGCCCTTCTCTTCAGGTTCAGAATTTGTTCCGTGGCCATTCCCAGTCTCGGTATAAATACTCTTCTGGTTCCGGACGCACGGGTTGAGTGATCCCCGGGCCCCTGACCGGTTCTAGCATCTTATGTACGTACATACTCAACTCCTAATATCGCCCACATCTATACACTCAAATCCATACTATAACACCCTAATCCGTCCAGGTCTGCAGCCCCGTCCGGACTAAAGTATTTAACTTGGTAATCGTAAAAATTTAAAACTTTTCAAACACACTTTATTAATCACAATAATATTTTTCATAACATATACAGTACGTAGTATTCAACAATATTGCGGAAGAGAATTTAATATTGACATATCATAAATCATTTCAAACTTGTCACATCCATCCCGACAATCTCGCCCCATCTACCACAAGGATCACATTGTTCTTTTTGTTTACCTGCGTGTAGCAAATAAAACACACTACACGCTCAGCGGTAAAGCTGAGTAAACATATCTAATGCGTTGCACATCCATATAAATGGAATCTAAATTCATAATCAAATCATTTGATATCATGCACACTATGTTCATTTCAAACATTCACTGTAACACCCTAATCCGTCCAGGTCTGCAGCCCCTTTCGGACTAAAGTATTGATTTGGTAATCGTGATAATTTAAAACATTTCAAACATTTTTATTTATAAATAATATTCCATACATAATTGTAGAGAAATACGGAGTGTTTAAATAAAATGCGGAAGCGACTTTAAAATATGTCTCATAACAACATAATTATTTATTTCATTCAATAATCTACCACGACTGTCTCACCCCTTCTGTTGCCAGGAATCAGCCAATCATTCATTCTGCCTACCTGTAGTAAATAAAACACACTACACGCTCAGCGGTGAAGCTGAGTAAGCATATCTAAAGCGTCAAACATCCACATAAATTGAATCTCGATTCATAATCAGTCATTTGATATCATGCACACAATATATAATTCAAACATTCATATTATTCTCAATATTTTATTCCAAGTCATTTGATATTCAATATCTCAACAATATTCTCAAATTATTTTTAATCTAAAGCCAAATCATTTCATAACAACTCTTAACTATTCCTAGTCTAAGGCAACATTTCTAACCAGGCCCTTAAACTATAAATAGTTTAATGCAAAACATAAGAGTCGATAATCCACCCTATGAGTCATGTGGATTACGTACCAACCGAACAGTGAACTGCCGGCTGGGTGATATCCGTTCTGGATCCCGTACGTATGTTTTAACCCCGAAATATGAATTGGTCAAGGAGGTATATCTTAGAGTTCTTCTAGATATCCTTAATAATCATCATCATTATACAAGTGGGTATATCTTTAGAGTTCTTCTAGATATCCTTAACAACATTATTCATCAATTCATATTCTTAGTTCAACAATCATTTAATAATCCATAATATTCATCAAATGAACAATCTAATAACAATCAGCGGCCTAGCATCGAGTGTTAACACCCTAGCTTACCGT